GTTAAGATGCACAGAGACAACAATATAAACGAAAGAGCACAAACACGAGAGTTACCAACATAGATAGATAGATAGGTAGATAGATAGATATATATATCGTCACAAACAGAACTGCCCGGTAAAACCGTAGGCAAAGAGAGAGAAGAGGACAACAAACGAGGGGCTGTGACAATATATATATATATATATAGAGAGAGAGAGAGAGAGAGAGAGAGAGAGAGAGAGAAGTCCCGCATGTTAAGAAGTGCACAGAGAAAACAATATAAATGAAAGAGGACAAACATGAGAGTTACCAACATAGATGGATAGATAGATAGAGATGGATAGATAGATAGATAGATAGATAGATAGATAGATAGATAGATAGATAGATAGAGAGAGAGAGAGAGAGAGAGAGAGAGAAAGAGAGAGAGAGAGAGAGAGAGAGAGAGAGAGAGAGAGAGAAGTCCCGCATGTTCAGAAGTGCACAGAGACAGAATATAAGGGAAAGAGGACAAGCATGACAGGTACCAAGATAATATTCCAATACTTCCATTTGCCATGACTGAAGCATGTCGGCATTGACATCTGCACTTTACTATTATGTCACTTATGAACTCATATGATCTCTAATGAAGTTCAGTGCGCACGTCTGAGTGGCAGTGAATGAAACATAAAATCAAACTCTATGACCTCTCATGAATTTCACTTTAAAAAGATGACTTGCCCCGCATTCTCCACATTTTCTGTCTTCCTCCTCAAGAACGTATGACCATTTTCCTCAAGAAAACTACCATGCATCTGCCCAACTGACAACCATACCTCTCTCTGAAGTATCTTCCTATTCCACAATAACAATTGCTACATACCAAATCGCCCCTCTTTCCTCTCTGAAGAGGTAACTTGAACTCTAATGACCTTAACTAACTGTCGAAAGACCAGACTAGTAGACTACCGCCTACTCCGCATTTTCCACCTTCCTCCTCAAGGAAACTACAACATTGTACATCTTCCTCAAAGAAACTATCATGTCATGTGTCTGCCTCACAGACAAGGCATTCATACCTCCCTCTGAAGTACCTCCCTATTACACAACAACAACAATACTCCACAGCAACAACAGTCACATAACGAATCATCACCCCTCTTTCCTCTCTGAAGCTGAAGAGGTAACTCCACATCCAACATCAACATCACACTCTAAACTTACTCCCTGTTTCATTACCACAGACAAAGGGTTCCCTAACTTCCCTTCCCATTTCTCAAACAAGTGTTCCCTTCCCATTTCTCGAACTCGTCGAATCAGTACAGACTGCCACTACAGCCAACACCTTTAATCATGACACCCACCCCTCTGTCATGGCGACAGTACAGCTAATTTCTTCAGAGATAAATTCTGTTTTGCGCATTTGAAACTTAAATGTAATGAAGCCCTCAAGACACCCTTGCATAAACCGATAGTTTCCATTTCTGCACCTGGCCAACGTCATATAACCATCAAGACAACCATAAACCGATTACAGGTCAACAGCCCTGTGGTGCAAAATGGGGTAACCAAACTCCAACCCCCCCCTCTGAGCCTCACCATCCCCTCTGAGCATCTGCCTTTTCTAAAACAAAAAACTCCAAAAATGTCGAGTTGTCACTCACCACGAACCGCAACGCTGTGACAGTCTAACCATGGTTCACTCAAAGGTATTCCTTCCTTCCTCCACCTTACCCAGTGACAGTAGGTCCCACATCCCTCACAGTGATTGCAAACTGTACATCACAGCGACACCATGGTTCACTCAAAGGTTACCAATTCCTTCCTTCCTCCACCTTACCCAGTGACGGTAGGTCCCACAGCCCTCACAGTGATTGCAAACTGTACATCACAGCGACAGTTTCAACACAATTTAACCACAACGTACTCAGCTTCTTCCTTAATTGATTGGAATGAGTGGGAGCTTGACGACTGCATCATAAACATCACAGTCCCCCCAGCCAAGCATGAAGATTCCACCCCTGCGAGTTAATTGAGAGTCAGCGATTCCGATCCGGCAAGGTCCCCATCACAGTTCAACCATCGTTCAGTTCCTCCGCTTTCCGTAAAGACAGCAGAGATCCACGCACATCATTCCAGAGTCCTCACGCTGATTGCCGATTGTAGCAGCACAGTGACAATTTGGCCAGTCCTCACACTGATTGCAGATTGTAGCAGCACAGTGACAATTTAACCACGCCTTAGCCTCAATTTACTAAAGCTGCCACTTCCTCCTACACAGTGACAGCTTAACCACGGCTTGACCACGATTTACTTCAGCTGCCACTTCCTCAAATGATTGTAATTACAAAGCTTGACATTGCTGCCCATTGCAAGTCCATTTGAAATTGGTGCCACAATCCCAGGATGTAACCCACCGTACTTGATCTGACACACACAGCTGATCCACTAGCACATTCACAAAAATTACGTCAGACCATCCCCCAAGTCCGACGCTCGACACTAGTGCATACCAACCTTATGCATACTACAGGCACATGAGCTCATTAGGAAGATGTGACTCAATCCCAGCACGTACACAACCACCTCGTATGTAGAGTGACGTCCACAAATGCAGCAAATGCTACCTACACATTCACTAACTCCAACGTGAGACATTGATTCCTCTAAGTGCAACTCCGCAAGGTCGAAATTACAACATGATCCCGGAGTCCCGGACTACATCACTATTTCCTCTCAAGTCTGACTACATCACTATTTCCTCTCAAGTCAGGCCTCACCCTTGACAACACTACCACTAATTGGTACCACACCCAATTGGTACTTTACATTCAACAAGGAATCAACATGGACACAAACCTATCAACTTTACATTCGACATGGACACAAATCTCTAACACCAAAAATAGCCTACTACTCGACTCACAACCTCCTCAATCTATCAGCAAGACGCTGACAACACATCCCCACCAGCAACTCCGTCGTGAATCTGTCCTAAGTGATCTGCGCTAATCTGTGCAATTCGTTGCGTCCCTCGAAAGTGACCCATCCAGCTCACTGCATCCCTCTGACGTGACCCGCACCATAATCAGCAGGGCAAATAAACTGCCATGCTCAATGCAATTCACCAGTAAGACCATCCAAACAGATCTGTGCAATTCACTGCGTTCCTTATAAGATATGCGCAACTCACTGCGTCCCTGTGAGGATATCTGTGCAATTCACTACGTCCCTCTAAGGAGATCTGTACAACTCACCTGTGAGGATATCTGTGCAATTCACTACGTCCCTCTGAGGAGATCTGTACAACTCACTGCGTCCCTGTGAAGAGATCTGCCCAACTCACTGCCGCCTCCCTGTGAAGATATCTGTGCAATTCACTGTTGTCCCTCTGGAGGCATCTGTCAACTGCGCAACTCACTGCTTCCCTGTGACGATATATGTGCAATTCACTGTGTCCCTCTGATGATATCTGTGCGATTCACTGCACCACTGTGAACGGTGGAGTCAGCTCCATTCGCGATGGAAGACCTACCGATGGATGGACTAATCATACCACTGGCAGGATACCACTCGTTATTCCTCAGCAGATAATAGGAAAAAAAAAAGCTGTCGATCATCCCCAACCAGAGAACTTCTCGCATGATTAACCCTAAAACTTGTCTGGTGCACCATAGCTACCACGCATGCTAATCTTCATCAACCAAAGTAGCTGTTCATTGCCCCCAACCAAAGAACTGGTCACCTGATTAACCCTATAACTTCTCTGATGCAGCTAACCATGCATGCTACTCCTCATCAAGCACAGCTCCCTCGATTCACGATATGAGACCTCCCCTTTCACGGGTCCCTCGATTCACGATGTGAGACCTCCCCTTTTTTTTTTTTTTTTTGTGAATTTTTTTGACGAAGACACTCTGCTCATTTTATGTCCAAGAAGAAAAATGAGGCCGGGAGTACTTCAACACACTTCCCCTTTCTGCACACATTGGAGACCTCGTCAGGCGAATCTTCATTTCCTGTTAACACACGCCACTACCTCCAGAGACACACAGTCAATGGAAACCAACCGCTTCAGAATCCATTAAAACATTGCGCGCCACTTTTCTAGAAGGAGCACGTATCCTCTCGAGTCGTGGCCAACCAAGCAGCCTCATGATCCTCTTGGGTAACCCCCTTTGTTATTTTCTGGGCCTCATAGACTCACGCTTCGAACTCAGATCAAATTTATTGCCCTTCCATGTCCTCCCACAAGGATCGCAGACTCCCGATCTTTGATGAACAATCACGCGCGCACAGGATGCCCTAGAGACATAACTGCTACCCACCACGCTTCTTCATTCTCTGCCGAGTAGCAGCTGAACAACCACGCGCGCACAGGGTGCCGTAGAGAGAGACATGTTAACTGCTACCCATCACTCTTCTCCAGAGTCCATTTTCTGCCGATTTGCAGCTTACTTGCTTCTGAACTTGTTAATCACACCCTTCATCGTGTCCCCGACGCGCCTCTGCACATACTCAACCTGATGCCCACCGAATGGCATAGGCCCTTTGTAGTAACGGTAGACCCACCAAAGGCCGACACTCGCTGTCACCGCAGAGACTGCACACCAATCACACAGGGAGTCACCCAGTCAAATCAGTCACACAAAAACATCCAATCAAAGAGTGCAATTTCCAACCAATCGAGGACACATCCCAGCAAAGAGTATCCGACCCAAAAACACAATCAACACTTCCTGCGTGCTGAACTACGGTCTTCACACAAATACAATATAGCTGTATTTGGGCCAACTTTGCGTCTAGATACAGTGATAATGACCGTACGTTGTATTCGGGTGAAGACTGTAGACGTACATTTTCTAGCCGTGTGTTGTCGTGTTCGCTGGATATGTATGACCGGGATAAACGGTGGAAACCACCCGAACGATTAGAAACGCCCACAGGAAAATGAATCTCGCGAAAATACAGCGCCAAGTTCATAATCCGGTAATAAGAAGCCCGGCGGTCGGGACCTTATGTAGCCGCCACGTACCTACATCACGGCCTGTATTACCCGTCGGCCCTTCTTGCCAATCGGGAAGAGCTATTTTGGGGGCGGAGAACCGGGAAAAGTCGTCTTCGGAGTGACAATAAAAAAAAGGTCATCAACTTAGCCTTATCCACTTCTCCCCTGTACTTCTGGGTGTGTGTGTGTGTGTGTGTGTGTGTGTCGTCATATTCGCTGTAACTAAGAAGCAGCACCGTTCCAGACTCGTCAGGAGATTTGAGTCACGAGATTTGAGTATGTCGGTGTTTTATCATGTTCGCTATAGGCGACTCCTCAAAGGGGCGTGTGTGTGTGTGTGTGTGTGTGCGTGTGTGTGTGTGTGTGTGTGTGTGTGTGTGTGTGTGTGTGTGTGTGTGTGTGTGTGTGTGTGTGTGTGAGTGTGAGAGAGAGAGAGAGAGAGAAAGAGAGAGAGAAATGCTGATGGAGTGCCAGCCCCAACTCACGTGTGCCGACTAGAGGGAAAATGTGTACCGATATGTATGTCCAAATTTCAAAAACATTTCGGCTAGAGTTTTTTTTCCACATGTATGTGCAAATTTCAATTATATTTCGCCTAGACTTCTTTTTTTACCCTCATTCTTTCTTCTCTCGCCAGATTTAGATTTGTGTAGTGCGATGTATATTTTCTAAGGGATTTAGTGTGGGAGGGATGACTATACACTGGACCCTCGCGTTCACCGAACCCGTATTATGCACTGTTGCAGACGGAAAAAGAAATGACATCTCTCAGGAAAAACTTTGGGATAATTGGTAGAAGGAGCCCACGCCAAAACCTTTTCGGTTTTGGCCGCCCAAAACTCGGCCGTTTGGTACTACCGGCCCAAACGTTTACAGCCTGGGTGAAAGACGTCTCCGCGCCGTGGCCACGTCACCCTGGACCTGTTTTTACCGGTTCAGGAATTCGGCGCTGTTTTTGCGCCAGATTCATGAATCGGTAGAGCCCTTCTTTTTCAAAATACCGTACGTGGGCCTCATTCTATACTTCAGCGGTACCACCCTTGGCCCCTTTCACATCAAAATGAATCTGGCACTCTTATGCGCCAGATTCACGATCCGGTAGGGACGTTGGAGCGACGCGTGGGCCTGTAGTACCCCGCATGGAAGTCATTGGGCTTGTAGTACCAAACAGCCGAGTATTGGGCGGCCAAAACCGAAGGTTTTGGCGTGGGCTCCTACCAAACTTTTATGACGCAAACGAAGTCAAAGTCTCGTATGAAACCAGACACGTCGAAGCGGACCACTCCCCACTCTCTCAGCGCTCATAAGCCCTCCCACGAGGACACCAGAATCACCAGATTAGCTCTACGTCCAAGATCAGTCTATGTCGAGGCTCCTCGTGACCAAGAAAATCATTTAACATTTCGTCAAAAATTCCGTAGTCAACATATACCACCCCAACGGAGGTTACTACCTTCTTCCCCCGAATACAACGTACGGTAATTATAGCTGTATCTAGACTAAAGATACATCAAATACAGCTATAATGACCGTACGTTGTATTGGGGGGAAGAAGGCAGTAGGAAAGTACCTAGACGTAAACATCGTATTTTTCCAATTTCGTACGATTCATCATCAAACAACCCGTCAAAGGCAATTTAGACGAGAATACCAATACAGCATAAATTGACCGTACGTTGTATTCGGGGGACGAAGATAGGGATCCGAAGCCAAGATATATTTACCAATAGTTAATGGTTATGACATTCACCTAGATGAGCATGAACTATTATCCATTCTTGACATGTGGCCACTCAGATCCGTTCACCCACAGTTCATGTGGGCACTCAGATCTGTTCACCCACAGTTCATGTGGGCACTCAGATCTGTTCACCCACAGTTCATGTGGGCACTCAGATCGGTTCACCCACAGTTCGTGTGTCTTTCGCATGTGTCTTATGCCCACATCGTACTGTGCCCTGGGCTCGCGGTATGTCCACTCGAACACTTCAATCTTAACATAGACAAAAATTTGGGGGCTTTTTTTTTTTTTTTTTTTTTGTCGCCGTTTGATTTCCTTGATTGATGAGAGCTCATCCCTGGATCTGTTGCGAGGCACTTGGACTCCTTGGGCTGGGTGCACTTCAGATTTGACAGAGATGTTAAGTTAACGAATTTAGTCGCATTAGGGCATTCAATTCATCTGTAAGCTCCGTCAGTAACGAGTCTCAAGCACAAGGTTCCCTAAACCCCTTCCCTAAACCCCCCCCATTTCTACCGGATTTCATCTGTCAGCTCCGTAAGAAACGGGTCTCAAGCACAACGTTCCCTAACCCCCCCCCCCATTTATACAGATCAGAACACAGGGAACCAAAAACACAAAGCCATACTGACCAGTCAAAAAGTGAAGACAGTTCTTTCTGAGAACTTGTGAGAACCTCTTAAACAAAACTCAAGGGGAAGAACTTGTGAGAACCTATCAAACAGAACTGGAGCGGACCAACGGTTATATTGGGCCTCCGGTTATATTGGGCCTCGCTCGACAACTCGACCATGTTCGAAATGACACTGAATCCTCCGCAAGAACATAGAGAACCATTAGTTTTTTCTCTAGAACCATTAGTGTTTCTCTAGAACACTATTTACTCTAGAACATTAAATTTTCTCTAAGACATTTGTCTTCTCTAGAACACTAGTTTTTCTCTAGTCTTTTCTCTTTTGTGCACGTGGACGCTAGTTGAGGGAGGCCCATGATCGGAAAGGCATGAGCGAGAGATCGATAACTCACTTGCGACCACAGCTGTCAATCCTCCGGTAACGAGCAGGAAGATGAGAGCCGGGATACCAACGAAAAGAAGCAGCGGAATCCAAAGCGGAGCAGTACAACACGCTGTGAACAAAATCAGTGGTGATGCCAGGAGAATGGCGCCGCCGCCTACGACCAACAGTGGTGTGCCAATGACGACAGTGATGATTGTCAGAGTGACAACAGCCATCACCGCCAGCGCAAGCCCGCCACCAACCAGGCCCCACCTCTTCCAGTTGATTTGGTGAACGTCAGGCATTTGCAGCCACGACTTCGAGTCAGCCATTCTTGCTGCTGGTCTTCAACACCAAGATTAACCGCGGCAGAAGTGAGGGAACAACAGAACAGTCAACGCTGGGCGATCAGCAGAGAAGAAAAAGATAAGCGGACGTGAGAGAGCGAGAGAGCAAGAGAGCGCACAGAGACAGACACACAGAGAGAGACAGAGAGACAGAGAGACAGGAGGGAACAGCAGAACAGCGAACGCAAGGCGGACACCAGAGACAAAAAAGCGGACGCGAGAGAGCGAGGAAGCCAGAAAGCGAAAGAGAGAAAACGAGCGAGCGATCGAGAGCAAGAGAGAGAAAAAAACAAAGGCCGGGGATGCGACCAGACTGAATCACTGTGGTCAATTCAACTCAGAGAATCCACGTTCATCAAACTCCCTGCAATGAACCACACCTGGTCACACGTTCCAAGAAATCACGTGAGCGAGAGCAAGAGAAAAAAACAGAAATAGTACAATGTCAAGAAATCACGTGAGCGAGAGCAGGAGAAAAAAACAAGGACCGCTGGGCAGAAAGCAAAACACAGAGGCCAGGGATGCGACCGGATTCACCGGACTGAATCACTTGTCCATTCAACTCAGAGAATCCACGTTCATCAAACTCCCTGCCATGAACCACACCTGGTCACACGTTTCCAATCACACAGACATAATACGATCTCAAGGCCACGTTCCGTATGGACTTCGTGCCCCCTGCTACGAAATTATTAGCGATTAATTACAAATACCTCCAAAAAATCAAATACATACCTTCCACCTCATCACAAATTCCAATACACATCTTCCTCCTCATAACGAATGGCCACATCTCCACTGCATTCTCCCTCCCTCTTCGATACCGCTACGACGTGCAACGTGAACAGACAGCGAGAGACAGAACGACACCCTCGTTTACATCGGCAGTCGAGAAAACTCAGAAAAGAACAGAACATTTTTCACTATAACACGGCTGACGCACATGCCCACACGCTGACCTATCGCGCCAGAGACTACGAGAAAACCCGGTTCCCGGTGCGATAAAGCAACACACTGTTATGACACACATAAAAAATCATGCCTCCCTGCACATTGTTATGACACACATGAAATTGCATACCTCCCTGCCCTTCATTACATACACACAAACACCTCTGAAAACGTCCAAACAAAGGGCATTAAAATTCGGCATTCTGGCATCGCCGCACGGCACACGAAACGAAAAACGAAACGAGTGCATCTTCCTTCAGAAAATGGCCAGGTTCGTCGGTTTGCTGTATATAGTAACGAGTGTCCTTTTCCACCTTTCATGGCCCGATGCACTCGTTTCGTTTTCATTTCGTGTGCCGTGTGGCGACGCCCAAACACATGTAGAATACACGGGACACACACGACTACTTCGCAGTTCGCATACACACGGGCGACAACACTGAAAACGGCAAACATAGACATTACATAATAAAATTCAGCACTCTGGCATTCTCTGTAGAGAAACAGATTTATAACCCCAGGGAAACACACGATCACTCATCACAGCATCGACGACTGGTCTTCCAAGCTCCTACTTCCGAGTCACATTCAGGGATCATCTAATTACAGCCCCCCCCCCCCCCAACACACACACGAAAATGTGCTAAATTTAATCGTTCTACGTACATACACACACCTACAACACACAACAGAGCAAACACTGCTGAGTTCATTATAAACAATTTGTGCTCCAGACCGATGCCGAACAGTAGCATCTGGCGAGAATGATCTCAATACACTCTCTCTCTCTCTCTCTCTCTCTCTCTCTCTCTCTCTCTCTCTCTCTCTCTCTCTCCCCCTCCCTCCCTCCCTGTGTGCGTCTTCCTCGGACCTAAACGCGCCCACTCCACTCGCCTCGAGCAAGAACGATCTCAATACACGCTCTCTCTCTGACGTAGACCCGCCCACTAAGTGTCTCTCAACATACCAAGGTCACTCCTAGGTGCGCGGAACAAGTCCTAGCCCATCGGTCGCTCAATCGGCAATCCCAAGGGCAGTCTTGCACGGACAATAATTCACGCGGCGAGTGACCCCACAGCAACGCGCCACTGCTAGCCCAGCAGCATGCAGGCGTCGTACTCCGTCGCCGCTGGTTTACAATCCCACGCAGTGAGCGGCATACCCGCAATGACAAGCCAAGTGCGAAAAATCCCTTAACCCTGCAGTCTATCGATTCCAATGTCACCGCGCACCCGGCGAAACATGATTGATTCCCATTCTCACCTCGTTTCCCCGAGAAGAATCCTGTGAGCAGTGTGAGCAGCGTGTGCAGTGTGTGCAGTGTGTGCAGTGTGTGTAGTGTGTGTAGTGTGTGCCGCCGTTCCCCCCTCCACTGTCTACCGGTATACGCAGCTTCGTCAACTGCGATGCTGCCAACGGGTTCGAACAAGTTTATATAAAAGTCAGTGAGCGTTCCCTAACCCCACGTTGGCGTATGATCGGAGGCCAGTTCGAGCTCCTGGGTTTGGACGGTACGCCACTTGTACATTTTGACCCCGAATACAACGTACGTACGGTAAATATATCGGTATCTGGGACATCTTTCAGTCTAAATACGGCTATAATGACCGAACGTTGCATTCGGGGGAAGAAGGTAGTCCCTGGTTTTGGCGACGAGGCCGCGTCTACTTTTTTTCGTTTTGGCGGGGTGACTGCTCGATCAGACCCGCGCTCGAGGCCTCCGACGTGTGAAACCGACCATAAATGACGTTGACCGTACGTTTCCGCATTCACAGTTCTGGTTTTGGCGTGGAGGCCGGTTCAAGTTTTTTTTCGTTCTGGCGGGCCTGACTGCCCAATCAGAGCTGTGCTCAGAGCCCTGCTCGGGGTCTCCTGTGAAAACGACCATAAAAGACGGTGATTGACGTTGACCGTAGATTTCCACGTTCTGACAGAAGAGACAGTCGCGACTTCAACTTTCTGAATCTGAAAAAAAAAATTCACGCCGTTTCAACTTTTTTTTCGTTCTGGCGGGCCTGACTGCCCAATCAGAGCCGTGCTCAGAGCCGTGCTCGGGGTCTCCTGTGAAAACGACCAGAAAAGACGTTGATTGACGTTGACCGTAGATTTCCACGTTCTGACAGAAGAGACAGTTGCCACTTCAACTTTCTGAATCTGAAAAAAAAAAATTATCTCCTTTGTGAAAGGCGAAATTGAGAGAAGTTTCTGGTTTCGGCAGTGAGGCCGGTTCCACTTTTTTGCCGTTCTGGCGGGGCTGACTTCTCAATCACAGCCGTTGATCGAAGCCCCATGGGAAACGACCAAACAAAGACGTTGACCGTAGATTTCCACATTCAGACAGAAGACACACCCACCGTTCGGACCAACGGTTTGGAAAATGAAGTTCCAATTGAATTGACAAATCCTTGGTGCCAAGTCCCAACGGCCTTTCCTGCTGCTTCTGTTGATGTAGGCCGAGGATGGTTGTTGTGGAATCTCGTTCACCCGTTTTGTGTGCAACCGGGCACGCGGTTGCTGGCATAATGTCTTCTCAATCAGAGCCGTGGGAAACGAAACCTGGCATAATGTCTTCTCAATCAGAGCCGTGGGAAATGAAACCACCAACAAAGACGTTGACCGTAGATTTCCACATTCAGACAGAAGACACCAGTGCCGGCCCCGTGAACGTGTGCCGGTCACCTGTCCGTGACCGGCCGGTCACCGGGCCTAAAATCCGTGAACGGCCGTTCACGGGTTCTCCGCCCACGGGGACGGCGGTACGGTCGGGATGGGGGCGGGAGGGGGGTGGTGCGGGGCCCTTCTACAGCCCCGTACCTTCAAATCATAAAAAATAAAAAAAAATAAAAAAACAGAACGGGGTGTCTCCAAGAAGAAAAAATAAAAAACATTTGGGGGGTGGAGGTGGGGGGGGGTTGGCGCAGGGCCCTCGCAGAGAAGCGCCATGAAGTAGGAAAAAAAAATAAAAAATTTGGGGTGTCGGTAACACCCCACATAGCACCTATACCAACCCGCCACCCCCTAGCCCCCCACCCGCACCCCTACCAGCACCCGAACCC